CGAGCAACTGTCCTTCTACCTGACTTGGCAGACCGCACTGATTACTGCTTCCAAGTGGCTGAATCGTCAACGATCTCACCTTATTACCTGAAAGTTGTGGGTTTCATCCATAGAATTGGAGTCTTGGATGCAACTGGGTCTTGAAGAGGACGAAACAGCCGTCCAGTACTCCGCGATGGTTTTTAATGAGTCTCTAACTGATTTCAGGTCGTGGTCAAACCTTCATTTTGCATTTCAAGTAGAACATACGACTTAGCGGTGGTGTTCTCTCATACTACATGGCCTTCCTAGCTTCTAGCTGAACTTTCCGGGCTTACTACCGGCTAAGTGGGGTTTAGGTGTGCGTTGACTGGGGATCGAACCCGGACCACGTGGGTGGATGGCGAGCATTCTACCACTGAACCACCGACGTGTAGTCTAACAATAAACTGGATCATTTAGAACTAAGTAATATGTTTGTAAGTGGCTATCGTATAAATTTGCAACATATGTATATCATTTTCTACTGGTATAAAGAAACTAAAAGAATCATGCACACACAGTATTGATTTATTACATTTTTTTATTGTCAGAATTAAAATTAAAACTTAAATTTCTCTGGTTTTCTTGAATTTTCTTTCTTTCATTTTTGTTTGTCGTTGTCATTTGTAACTGTGTTTATGGCCTACCCAAGCTTACTACTCCCCAGCGTGTATATTATTTGTATACACACAGTCAGGCTTATTCATCTTGCAAATTATTAATTTTAATAAATACACACTTTCCGACATTCTTATTTCTTGACAATATAACATACATGTGTGTAATATAAATTATTGGAATGTTAAAAATAAACCTAGTAGGTTTACAAATAAAGGGGAAGGTTAAAAATAGTCTCTTTTATTTGTTGGTAAGATTATTAAACAACTACTGCCATTCACCACTAATATCCAATGGCATTTCTCTTCGATTCATGTATTTATTTTCCTATTTTTATTGGTTATCACTGTTATCAAATTTGTGCTGATAGTAAACAGATAATTGATGCCGTCTATGGGTGAAAACTATTCGCTTTTAAATCGAAAATAATTGTCCATTCCTAGTGAAATCTGTAAGCATGCTTGTATATATATATATATATATATATATATATGCGTCGGCGGCACAGCGGTAGAATGCTCGCCGCATATGGTCCGGAGTTCGACCCCCGGCCGGTGCACTCCTTTACCTCACTAAGCCAGTAATAAGACTGGCAAAGAGGGGAGGTTGGGCGTGGGCCTAGCAACCCCATCCCGTAAAAGTAAACATCACTGCTACCGAAACTTCAAGTCTCTAGCTTGAAGTCCTATGTTCCACTGGGAACGTAAAGGAATAAAAAATATATACATATATACAGCCTCTTAGCTTTCAATGTGTTGTTGACTGTCATACAGTAGAGGAGTGAAGGATGATGAAATGGGAGGTGAACAACAAAAGGAGAAGCTGAGTACAACCTATAGTTCACTGAGCAAAGGAGTGAAGAATAGTGCTAGGGAAGACAAAAGACACTTCTACGACTGCCCAGTGGCAACTGAAGTAAAACAGGCTATAGGCAACAAAAGACTTCACAACACAATAAAGATCTACGACGCCACTATTCAAAAAGAGATCAAGGTAGTGAAGGAAACCAAATTGCCGACGAGATGAAATAGAGTAAACACTGAGCTGATTGCTTTAAAGGACTCTTCAATTGATCATCACCTGCGACTCGTTCAGAATTAACACCAACAGACACTTAGCTGCTAGTGAAATACCAATCCTTCGATGAAAACAGAAGTTTTGAAGGTCATAAATTTACTGAAAACCAGCTGGGAGGAGACGGCAGTAGGATCTAATGGAATCACCCCCAGAATCCCTGAAAACAGACCCAGAGACTTCAATGGACACACTCATGAAGGGGTGGAAGTAAGGAGAGGTACCTGTCTGTCGGAAGAATGTCTACCTTGTCAAACTTAGACCCATGCAAGAAGTAGCATGGAATGATGCTCTTCTGCACGTCAAGCAAAATATTAAGCCTAACCATACTGAGTTAAAGAGTTCGCCGACTTGAGATTGTCCCAGGGAATCCTTATTTACCCTCGTTTGTTGTAACAGTCTTAGTTGTTATTATCGATTAATAATAAGTCGTGTAACAGTTAAAATTAAATAAAGCTACTACTATATACATAATCTTGAACTCTATGGCTATGTAATCTTGTACCATCTGATAATTGACCTAAAAGTTAGTTTCATCATCACTATAGACTTAACTCTAGTAGCTCTACTTCTTTGTGTACTTAGAAAAAATAGATTTCAAGGTCAATTTCGTTGTGACGTGATATCAACTAAAGAGCCTCGAAATCATGAATAACACTAATGATCTATCTTTTTTGTAATAAATGTGGGCCTCTTAAGTATTGTGTATGTACTAGACTGAGAGTAATCGAAGCCGGAATTATGCTATGAAGTAACCACGATGTTATTTGGGGTATGATAACTAGCGGTGGAATCCAGGATGCGTACTTCGTTGTATTTGGGACTCGTCATCTGGATGCACTTGCAGTCCCCAGTGAGTAGTGGTGTCCCCATTAAAGCCGAACATTTCCGTCCAAGCAATCAAGGGGTAAAGTAAAATTGACTTAAAGAGAAATAATAGCTGATCCCCGTTGCACAAGAGATGGTTGTCGTAACCCAAATGGTCTAATGATAATGTTTGGAAGTTTGAAACAAATGGGTACTTGGTTCCATTTTCGCCAGTAGGAATACCAGTCTGTCTGTCTGTTTTCGACATAGAACTTTTCACCGATGTGCAGCAGTTCAAGTCGCCACACTCCCTCTTTGTAGCACACAAAGGAAGAGAAGAAAGTAGGAGAAATGCATAATAGAGACAGTAAACAGAGGTGTGAGACAAAGGAATAGTAATAACGAAGAACAATATAATTTAACTGGAAATCTTTAGTCACAAGGAGTGGATGCATCTGCGACAGCCATTGAGAACGATTTTGAGCCATATCACCAATTGTCACCAGCCATTGGTTTTTACTGTCCCGAGGACCCCAACCAGGAAGTCTGCCTCTTCCTACGTGACTTGCTTGAACTAACTGTTGTGGATTTCATTGACTGATGAGGCCATGTTTTCGTTTGACCGCCGCTAGCTCTTTTCCAGCCTGACTCTATGTCAGCTAACATTGCCCGTCGAGGAAGGCGATGGCTAGGCATGCGTAACACATGTCCTAACCATTTCAGTCGATGTAACTTCATAGCCTCGTCGATTGATTTCCCCTCCTTCCCTAGCACTCGACCGATGCCTAACCTCAGTATTGCTCACCTTATTATACTATTTCACACGGGAGATAGAACGCAGACACCTATGATCAAAGACAGCTAATCTTTTCATGTCTTCCACTCTCAATGTCCGGGTCTCACAGCCATAAAGGAGGACAGAGCGGACTGCTGAGCAGTACACACGTCCTGCTCCCAGTACTCACTGGGGATTGCAGGTACATTCAGATGATAAGTCTCAAATAGGGCGAAATGCGTATCCTCGATTCCACAGCTAATATTTACCATCCGCCGAATAACATCATGTTAATGCTCACCAAAGCGTCCATACTAGTAGTCGACATGTCAATAAAGGCTGAAAATTGCGGTTCATTGAATCAACAGTAAAAGCAAAATTCACTTAAACAAAAGTAATTATGAAGTAACTATGTTCATTTAAATCTCCTCTAATGCACCTGTTTAAATTTAAATCCACTAGTAATTGTTGATTAACTCAAAGCTCAAATTTGTAAAGTTCTTATGAGAAACTGGTTAGTTAGTGCATCAATAAAACTGTATGGCGTTTCTATATTGTGTTAGTTGGCAAATGTTTGAAGTAAGGAGGCATTGAACTAAACCCTAGTAGTAGTTGGATGTACACTCTTCGACTCCATTTATCTCGAGGTCATTAATATACACTGTTGGAGAGTCCCAAAGTATTCAAAAGCATCTATTGAATGCTTCTTATATTTCAATGGTTCCCATGAATTTTGTTAGTCCATGATGAAACCTATTTATTACCTTCTATGGAGTTATGAACTTCTCAATAGCCTTCAGTCATTTGTTCTAGTTTCCTATCATTGTTTATGCTAACATTCAACTCAATCCACTTGCGTTTACATTCAATTAAAAATGAAGTCAAACCTGTCTAAACCTCAATAGAGGAGTGAGAATCCCTAAATACAGTTTCTAATTTGATGAACTGTAGCTTTACTTATTGCATATCTACTTTCGATTACTTCACATTATGTTTCGCTGCATATTGTTGTATTCTCAAGTGTTGGTTTAAAGGGATTTGATTGATTTCAAGTTTGATCACCAACTGTGACTAATATCGCTTAGAGAACCATTGAAAACTATCAGGGAGTGCTGGGCAAATGTTTCGTCCTAGTTTGGGACTCTTCATCAATATGCTTCCATGAGCTCATCGCTAGGGATTGAACCCAAGACCTTCAGGTTACGAGACGAGCTCTTTTACCGTTCAGCCGATCGGATGCGGAATCCAATAGTCCAACAATTCTAACTTCTGCCAATCTATGTGGCGGTGTGACTTGGTAGTTCAAGCACTTGACCCTCAGTCAGTGTGTCCTACATTCTAATCCCCCTCCACCTGCTTTATTTTGAGCTAACTGGGTAGGATAATCAACCCTCATGCAATAAGTATAGTTTATAACCGGGTATATTTCTGATAATTTATTTCAATCGATACTGTTTTGTACTTTATTTTACACTGTTCTGTGTGATTATTTAGTGAAAATAATGTTGAATTTATATATGAAGCTGACAGTTAATTTGATAAATCAATAAGTCATTGAATGGATTGCCTGACAGTATTACCCGAATTTCTATTGGTTGTAAAAGATTTCACCTAATTGATCCATTTGTTTCTTTATTATTATTATTATTATTATCATTACTATTATTATTATTATTATTATCTTTTTCTTCTCTTCTCTTGCCAGGAAAACTTTAAAGGTGCAAAAAATCTACAAATTGTTGCAACTGAAGCAAAACAAACTGTCTGCATTTATAAATGTAATGAATGTACTATTCAAATTAAAGGAAAAATTAATTCAATCATGTTAGGTAAGTTACGTATTTATGGTACGATTATGTCAATACATATATGTATATACGACCGTTTATCTAACCGTTTAACATCAACTCAATGTGAGGTTACAGCCCCATATTGTAATGGTTCAGGGTTAACTTTGCATGAGATTCACCCCTGTCAAATGTAGGGTGATGCTGCACGACTAGTTCACACCGATTCCTAGTCTGAAGATAGGGAGTGAAGTGGTTTAGCGTGATGATGACTTCACTTATTTGGGAAACTGTATCAGCCCTAATGGAGTGGTTTCTGACAAAACGTCAGCATTGATACAAAAAGGCTGGTGTATCATTTGTAAAGTTATGTCATCTATGAAGTAGACATGATATCCGGTTATCTTTCAAAGAACGTGTTTACTGTTCAGCAGTTCGCTCTGTCCCTCTTTATGGCTATGAGATGTGGTCAATGGAAATGAAGGACCTGAAGAGTCTAGTTGTCTTTGATCACAGGTGTTTGCGTCTTGTCCCTAGTGTTAATAAGTGGTACAATATGGTAAGTAGTACTGGGGGTTAGCGTAGAGTGCTATAAATAAGGAGGGATAGTCAATTGATGATGTGAAGCTGCATCGATTGAGACAGCCAAGACACACATGTTACGCTTACGGAGCCACCGCCTTACATGTTGATCCATGTCAGCTGACATAGGGTTAAGTTGGAAAGGAGTCAGGGGTCGTCAAAGCAAAGCCTTACGTCAGTCTATGAAGCCTTTGATTGTTGGTTTGAGGCAAGTGGGGTAGTGTAAACTGCCTGGCTGATTGAGGTCCTCCTCGAAACTGTTAGTGACATGGCTTAATATTACTCTCAGTGGCTCAGATGTGTTCACCAATCTATTAAATACTCATTATTCTCCATGTAATGATTCTATCTTCTAATAATAATATAGATATTTATTATGACTTCTTTGTATTTCTGTTTTCCTCTGCTTTTATGTATGTGTGTGTTTGTATACTTCCATGAAATCTGGCAACTTAAACTGCTGCACAGTTGTGCAAAGTTGTATGTTGTAAAGACATTCACAGTTAGACAGATTGTGGATAGTTGTTTGTGTATTTCAATTATCGGAAATTAGTTCGATTATGTTTTTCCATTGTGGAAAATTTTCCTATTCAGGTTTTGTAATGAAAGTCAAACACACATTCACACAAATTAGTATAAGGTTTGTTTGTTTGTTTTTCTATTGACGTATTCTATATACGACTGTTTTCGCATAAGAATGTCCTAGTTCACACAGAGCTTTACCAAATCGTTTTAGTCTTACTAAACGCGTTTGCTTAGCTAATTAAATAAAACTTTTGGTGTTTGTAATGTTTTCGTCAAAATCAGAAGTAGATTATGCGGTGTACGTTTGCATTATAAGTGAATTCCCTTACTTGTCTCTACATTCTTCTTTTCTAAAGTCTTATACCTTGTGTCATTTTGAAAGGTGGAAATTAACTGATGCATTGGGGGCGGGGATCACTGGTAGAATATTGGTTAGCCACACAAGTGGTGTGGGGTTCGATTCCCTGCCAGCAGACTCTTAAATCTTGCCTAATCTGTAGGTGAGTCCAGGAAAGACGGGAAGTTGGGCATGGAACTATTAACCCCTTCTGATATAAACAACACCTACATTACTGAGACTACAAGGGTTTGAAGCGTTACGTTCCATTAGATAAGCAAAGGAATAATAAAAAAGTGCAGGAGACACATTTAAGGCCCATTAGGGAAATGGGTAGTAAAATACAATGATAAGCGAAGCAATCTCCGAGAAAGACGGCGCTTTTACTAACTCTTTAGGTAGGAGAGATTGAGATTCTGCTAGAAACACTTTGAGGAGTAATTTTATTTATTTATTTATTTATTTTTGATTACAGCTTGATGCCACACCGTATTTGCATTACAAGTATGGAATTTTCAGCATGGATATCGGTAGCCCAAATTTTGCAGGCCGACCATAGATATCAGGTGTGCGTCGGCAGGGGATCGAACCTCGGACCATGTGCATGGTCGGCGAAAGTCCTAACCACTGTGTCACTGACGCATCCTACAGCCACTCTCAGCTTGCCCAGTATCCTACACTTATCTGAATGAGATGTCGACATCGATACTCCAACTGTTACTGCACTTCTTTGCAAAGTTCTACGTGGAAACTAGAAGTTTGAAAGTGAAAGACATGAAAAGACTAGCTGTCTTTGATCATGGGTGCCTGCGTTCTATCTCCTGTGTTAGATGGAATAATACGGTGAGTAATATCGAGGTTAGTCGTCGAGTGCCAGGTATAGGGGAAAATCAATCGACAAGGTTGCAAAGTTACATTGATTGAGATGGCTAGGACATGTATTATGTATGCCAAACCATCGATTGCCTTCCTCGACGGGCAATGTTAGCTGACTGACATAAGTTCAGGTTGAAAAAGAGATAGTGGTGGTCAATCCAACACATGGCCTTGTCAGTCAACGAAATCCATAACAGTTAGTTTAAGCTAGCCACGTAGTGAGGTGTAGACTGGCTTTCTGGTTGGGGTTCTTGGGATGGTAGAAACCAATGAAGGCTGGAGACAATTGGTTATATGGCTCAAAATCGTTCTCAATGGCTGTCGCAGATGCATTCACTCCTTGTGACCTATAATATCCAATAAAATTCTATAGCTCTTCCATATTACTATTCTTCTTGCCTCATATTTTTGTCTATTATCTCTCTTTTGAATATCTCTTTACTCTCTTCTCTTGCTTTGTGTGCTACATGGAGGGAGAGTGGCAACTCGAACTGCTACACTTCTGTGCAAGATTTCATGTTGAAACCAGTCAGTCGTCAGTGGACGTTGAAACTCACTCTCAGTTAGTCATCTGGATTCTTTAATCCATGAGTTTAAATAGTCCCGCAGACCTTTAATCAGTCAATGTACACATTCCTACCACACTATTTGGTTTCAGTGACTTAACCGATAATATTGTGTACTATCTATGCAAAAGTATATGTGCATATTTCACTTATAACTAAGTATACAATTCTAAATAGTACACATTATTAATCCATTATACTGTTCACATGTAACATTTATTCTCTGCATTGTACATATGCATAAAATTATAGATTTTTTTTATCATAACTTTAAATTATGCTGGATGAATAGTAAAGTTTATTCACAATGGAACATATTTTATATATTAAACTATTTAATCTTTACCTTGATCGATTCTTGTTGTCCTTCTCAGGGTTAGTTTTATCATTATTATGTGTTAGTCGTATCATGATTCGCATTCACTGGGTTGGTTTAAAAAATTTATATTTATATTGTGAAATGTTAAAAATTAACTTCTATTAACAAGAGTAAGGCACTTAGCGTAAAATATCTACTCACCTCCTATACTTCAAGATTGAAAGATGAGTCCTCAAAGATTCCAAAGCAAATGCTAACTGGTACTGTACAGTGTTCGTGAGGACAGATCATGTGACAATTGGCCTTTGAGCTGGTCTGGTTGACGATTGAGTTTCAACATAGAACTTTGCACAGTAGTGCAACTGTTCAAGTTACAACACTCCATATAGCACACAAAGGTAGGTATGAGAGAGAAAGAATAGTAACATGAAAAAAACATGACGACTTAATGAGTGGAAGATTCCAAAGTGTGAATGCATCTTCGCGATATATCACCAAAAGTCTTGGGCCATTGGTTCTTAATATCCCAAGTACCTCAACCACAGTTTATACTTGTCTACGAGTCCCAAACCAACTATCAAAGTCTTCCCTGGATTGGCTGTAGGCCTCCAATCATTTCTTCCTAGCATCCTGACGACCCCAACGAGATAGCTTACACCTCTCTACGTGGCTCAAACTATCTGTCAAAGATTACATAAACTGATGCCAGGTTTTGGTTTGACCACCTCTAACTCTTTTACAGCCTAATTCTATGTTGGCTAACATGTGCCTTGGCATTCTCAGCATGTGTCCTAGCAGTCTCAATCAATGTAGCTTCACAACCTGATCGTTTGACCTTCTTCCTTCCCTCCCTATCACTACGCCTGGTCTCAACATTACTCTCCCACATTGGAGATAGTAATGGTAATTATCCTAACAACTACTTTACATAAATTAAATCTGGGTGAGTACAGTATACTGTAAGACAAGATAAATAGTGAATAAATATAATGTCTGTTATGTGTTGTGTAAAGTCTATTGACGTAACACACTTTTCTGTTAGGAATGATCACCTTTATAGTTCACGTTTCGTTTCACACGTGTGAACAGTCGTCAGTAAGACATATGTAGAGATTTTAAGCTCCCTTAATAATTCATAGTGAGACAGTGAACCTTACAATTAAGCTGTTCAGACTATACGTAACCACATTTTTTAATAGATTTTATTAAATATTGCAAAATAAAATTCCTTAAATGTATAAAATGGTTTGCGCATGTTACTGAATAAACTTATTTTTTCATCAATATTTCTTCTAAAATCAAAATCAAATGGAGGGAGACACGTGTGTCGTCTTTGGCAGTTTAAGAAAGAAAAAAACCTTTCTAGTTAATGGTGACACAGTCCCTTTCTTTTTTATATCTGTCAAAACTATATTCTCCATATGAATATATATGACTTGCTTATTGAAGTTTTACATATACATATATATATATAACATATATATATTCGTTTTAGGTACCTTTTCATTTTACTAGATATTATTTTTATTTCACAATTTTTCTGTCGTCTATTCCTCTTTTGTATATAGATAGTTCTAAGAAAACTGGTGTAGTATTTGATCATTTAATATCATCCATCGATGTGGTGAATTGTCAGAGTGTTCAGATCCAAGTTAGTTTTATTTTTGCCTTGTTTTCCACTTCTTCGTGTTCTGTGATTTATTTTTCGTCAAAATAGTTCGAACTAGCGCTTCACTTACCAAGGTTTTAGCAATCAAAGCAGTAGATTTCACATAATATATGTATGGTTCATTGCCAATTGTATGAAAAAGCAAGTGGGTTATTGAGTAACACTCACATTCCATTCACTTCACTCACACAAGGCACTAACTATGCTAAGACCTTACACATTAGATGAATAGTTCATATTTGTTACGTCTGCTATGATGTATTAAAAACTTTTGATTTGTGGATTTGATACCAGTAGTGGTCACCGATCACTTCTGACTCCCACAGCCTACACCTGTGAAAACAGAAAACAGATTGGTCCACGCCAATGAGAACAGTTCAGTTTAGATATGATGGAGAAGATTTGTAGCTCAGGTGGATGATTTCAATATAATTTTGTTCTCTGAGCTGGATGGTTTATTTGCGAAACTTTCATTGCCCTACTAGGCAACATCTTCAGCGCATACTTCAATTTGAAGTGAGCTTTTAGATTTCTCCACGAGTTTATTAGTCATCTCTCATGGTGACCTTGAACGTGGTTGGTTGCTTTTGTCTGTTTTCACACCTAGTTTACTTGTATTGGTATTGATTGCTTCCTTGACCTGAAGTTTGACATTTTGTGCATGAGAATTTCCTCTTATGCATTGGTAAATCTTATCTATGTCAATATGCCTGCTAATTTCCGATTCACTGGAATACCAGGCTTCCGAAAATTCTCTGGCGTTCTTGGTATTTCCTCTCCCTAATATTTAAACGTTATCCCAGTCGAATTGATGTCTGTTGTCTGAGGGAGTAGATATCATGCCTTTTGACGGCTAGTTTATGTTCATGGATACGAAAACGAAGGGGACGTCCACTTTGTTCAATGTAGTGTTTTTCCGAGTCGCTGCAACTTATTTTGTAGATGATGTTGGTTTTATCTTCTTTTGCTGTTGTGTCTTTTGGTTGACATAGAGCTGAGTGAAGTGATTTTGTTGTTTTGTGTGCGACATCAATTCCCAAAGGTTCAATTTATTATACAAAAATACATGATATATATGGGTGCGCCGGTGGCATAGCGATTAGGACGCTCGCCGACCGTGCACATGGTCTGGGGTTCGACCCCCGACCGACGCACTCCTTTACCTCACTAAGCCAGAAATAATGCTGATGAAGAGAAAAGGTTGGGCATGAGACTAGCAACCCCATCCTGTAAAAATAAACACTGCACAGCCACTAGCTTGAACCCTATGTTCCTGGGGAACGTGAAGGAAAAAATGTCAATGGGTATTATCAACATCAGAAAATGAAGCCAACAAATGACCAATCCAATTGGTTGCATAATGTTGGGTTTTAAGATTGTCCAATCGTATTATAATAATAAAATATTCTGTCTCAGCCCAATAGTTTAATCTCTCTCCAGACTGGTATAATCCAGTTTAAACCTACTTTAGCTGGTTTTAGCTGCTTCTTGTCACATAGTTTTGTCTATAAATATAAACATACTTACTGAATTGTTTTTAATTTACAAATGAACTCTTAGTTTCACATTGATAAGGTTCTTATCACTGATACAGTATACGCATACTTGTTATCTATCAAGTGCTGGGGGTGGGGAGGGGGGCGGAAGGAAATGTTGTTTACAGATTCTTTAGTTAAAGCTTTTACTTTTCACATATACGTATGTATCTACACGAAAAATGGTATTCATAACTGGGAAAGAGAGAAACCTTGTTGTTCAGCATCAATGGAATATTCGGTAGTTGTGTTGTCTTCCCTACTGTGTACTGTTTTAAATTACAGTAACTTGAGTCAATGCATTTGTATGCCAGGTTCTATATTGATCTGATTGTCGATCTTGGAGATTAGGTGAAAGAGAGGCTCTAAGTAACTAGTCCAGCTATTCCATAGTATAATGAAAATGGGCTATTCTAACTGCATAGGAAAGCGATATTCGTTCTTTTTTTGCCATACTCTGACTATTTGATGATATTAGTTAGTTGGAGGCAATCAGCAGGAAGCCTTGGACCTAGGTTTCGGGCTAGTTGGCACTCACCAGTCAGCAAGGCGTATCTGCAACCTTGAAGGAACTCATGTCCCTTCTGAGATTCGAACCCGCGTCACCCAGTGCTGCAATCGGAGACGTTACCACTGACTATTCTGAATGACACTATAGCCACTGGGGGAAAATTAATACTAAGGTAAATCTTATATAGCATACCACTAAGTGTTGAAACACTTCTATCGTCACTTAGGACAAGACTGCCTAATATCTTCCTCATCCAATGATCAATTGCTATGCATAATCTATTCGTTGACTTGAATGGTTTAGTGACAAATACCATGACTTTAGTAATTTCATTTCAAGGTTGCAGATTCAGTATGCTAATTAATGACTCTGGCCAATCACTAAACAGAATACTCAACTCTTAAGAGCTTTTTTATTTCTAACAAATTGAGCATCATACATTTTAAAGATGTCGTTGGCTCTTTTTTTATTCCTTTACATTCCCAGTGGAACATAGGGCTCTAAGCTAGAGTTTTGAAGTTTCGACAGCAGTGGTGTATATTATTACGGGATGGGGTTGCTAGCCTCACGCCCAACCTTACCTCTTTACCAGTTTTATTACTAGCTTAGCGAGGTGAAGGAGTACGTCGGCCAGGGATCGAACCCCGGACCACATGCGGTGTGGTTGGCGAGCATTCTACCGTTGTGCCACCGACTCACATCGTTGGCTCTTGGCCGTATAATATCATAATATTTAATATAAATTGATGTATTGTATTTCATGTTACATATCTACGAATTTGAATAAAACAAGAACAATAGTTTTTGCAGAATAATATGTTACCATCATTAATTTCGTTGGCTTCTCATCAGCTCAGCTGCTTACAGCCTAAATAAATTATTATTAAGTTCATGTACAGAAAAGTTTTAACATACTTGCAAATTTTACATGATGTCAGTTGACAGGAGGTTCTGAACTTAGTGAACAGTGCTCAGAAAATTACACTTATACAGTTTTTACACAGGGAGTTCAGGTTTAATCAAAGTAAATGTATGCATACAATAGTAAAGGAGTTACGTAATAAAGACAAGAGGTACATAAGATGAGTAACTTATAGATTAGGTAACAATGTACTGAGTTCAACTCAAATCATCGAAACAAGAGACAAGCAAAATTGCACTATATCAAAGGGGAGTGAGTTTAAAGTCAGAGATTACGTAACCAAATGAGAGGGAGAATAAAGACATCCAGTCACCAGGATGGGCAAATAAAGACTGATAACTGCTTCTTTCTGAACACATAAATCAGGTTTCAGGCGTTTACGAATTCTAGACCCGATTGTCTTTTTGTTTTGTTTTTCCCATCCGCTGTTATTATCAGAACTTTTTAGAATGCAGAGATACTCTTTTGACTAGAACAGATAAAAATATTGTTTAACGTCTAAATTATTTACAGTCTTTATTGTACACTCTTAAATCAGTCATTTCAAAAAAAGCTGCGGTTCTCCATAGTTTGACTTTCGATAATATGAGTGTATATATATACTATTGTGGCGTGTGTCGCTGACATCAATTTATAAGTAGTATGTACGGTGGTTCAGTAGTTGAATGTTCGCCAGCTACGCAGTTGAGCCGGATTCGATTCCCGGCTGATACACTCTCAAATATTTCCTAATTTACTAGTGTTTAGTAAGCCGCCTGATAAAGAGAGAGGGTTGGATGTGTCAGGCTAGCACTCCCCCGCACACGCCGTAGTACTAACACCACTGCTACTGAAACTTCAAACCTTGTTGTAGCCCTGTGTGTTCCACTCGGAATGTAAGGAATGAAAAAAATAATAAATACTGTGTGTGATGTATTCTGCAAGAATTTTAAATAGTGGCGGAGGGATAGATTAAGCGCTGAAGAAAAGAAATGAAGGTCCTTGTGAAATAATAACAATAATACTATAGGCAACATAGGTGGAGACTAAATAAAGGTAGAATAAGAGAGTAACTTTTGCAACTTAAAAGTTCATTATAATATTTTCGCCTTTTTTTCAAATAAACAATTCTCCTGCCAAATACCAGTGTATTCTGTCGTTACATTACTACTAATACTAATACTACTGTGTATGAATGCCTATTTCTCTTGTGTTGTTAAATTCCACATATCACGTGAAGTTTTTATACAACATAACTATGTGAAATGTGGTGTGTGTGTGTGAATAATTTCGTATTTTGGTTGTTGTTGTTGTGTTTTTTTCCCTGAGTGTTTATCTATTCACTTTCATGAAACAAAATCACCGTTAGTTACTCTTCTTTTTTTATTTTAGTGTCTTGGTCAACTGGCAACTGTGAATATTGACAAAACTGATGGATGTCAAGTGTATTTGAGTGCAGATTCTAAATTTGCTGATATAATCACTGCAAAATCTTCAGAGATTAATATACTTGTACCAAAAGGAAATGATGATTATGTAAGTTGTTGGACAAATCAAACTTCATTGTAATTCGTTGATAATTTTGAAGCACACTTGAACTAGTTCATAGCCATTGTGTATCTCACTTAAGCACAGTAGTTGTAATTTAATCGATGTATTCGGAGTATTGCAGTGTATATGTTGGGGGGGATGTATGTGTTGGACAGAAGTGTTCTACTCCTAGGTAGTTTAACTACTTCAGTCTCTAGATAACTGTCCTCATTTTATGGGACTTCTAAATCAGCATTTTGATTATATCTAGTGTCAGGATGGACAAGCTTCTTCATTAGCCGTGAAGCCATGATTTATGCATCTACTGACATGATAACCTCATTGGACATTTTTTCATTTGTCTATTTATGGCTTAACTTTCTGAGAAATTGAAATGCCATACAACCATATTATTATTATTCCATTGGGTTCCGAGTGGAACACAGGGCTTCAACAATACAACTCCATTTTGTTCTATTCTATGCTGTCCTCTTCAGCTAGGTCCACAATTGCCTATAATCTCTCATCTCCTCCTCCCTAAACGATCTCCTGCATGTCACCGTAGGACAACTCACTCGTCGTTTCCAATTCGGATTCCACTGGAGTGATGGCCTGTCACGCGATGTCGTTTGACGGCCTCCTCAGCGTATGCCCGATCCATCTCCATTTTCTCCTACATATTTGTTGGACGATAGGTTCTTGGTTCGTTTGTTCCCAGAGTTTCCTCTTGCTAATTCTCTCTCGCCGGCCATCTGATCTTCAATATGCAGCCAGCAAAGGCAGCTGTTGATAAAAGTATGCATTGGCCTGTTGGAGATAGTTTTCGTGACACTGGTGCCAAGTTTCTGACCCACATAGAGGAACTGACTGACCAACTTCACATTTCTGTTGAAAATCCGAATCTTGTTCTTTATGCTGAGTGCAGGAGATTGCCAAACCGATTTCAGATTGATGAAGGTGTATATTGCCTTTCCGATTCTGGCTTTGACGTTTTCATCCGTGATGTCGCCTGTGGTTGAACAATCATTCCCAGATAAGTGTATGAGGTGACTTTCAATTTTATTCCACTGATAGTAACTGGTTGTTGTTGCTGTTGGTTGGTTATCTCCATGACTTTCGTTTACTCTATGTTCACCCGGAGTCCTGTCTTCGCTACTTTTGGATGGCAGGCTGTTATTTGGTGTAGCAGAGGTGATGATTGAAAGTCAAGTAAAAAACCTAGATTATAGCGGAATTCGAACCAACAGCCTTTGAATTATTAGTCACATTGTTTAAAGCTACCCTTTACTTTTAAATCACTTACCCTCCTGATAAGTAACCATATTATTTAGATCAATTGAGAAGACTTGTAATTCGTCGGAAAAAAGGAAGCTGAGTATGATTTCAGAATTATGAACTCAAGTTAGACGGTAAATGAAAGAAGGATAACTAGTGAACCTCTGATAACCAACAGATACTGAAATTCCATTATGGATAAGATTTTATTCTGATAAATAACAGTGTTGTACAGTAATATTTACTGATGACGTTTCGAGCACAAATTACTGCTCATATGATATGATTATGAGCATGAGTGGTATCACACACCGGGTAGGCCTTCGAGTGGGACCCGAATGGGTGTCCGAGTGTGAAATGGAGGAGATCGTGTGAGGAGGAAAGCATTGGTTACAGACATTCCTGGAACTGCGATGTCATTATGTCCTATTCGTCTCCATTTTCTCCTACATATTTGTTGAGTGATCGGCTCTTGTTTGGTTTGTTCCCAGAGTTTCTTCTTGCTAATCCTTTCTGGCTGGCCATTTGATCTTCAGTATGGAGCCAGCGAAGGCAGTTGTTGATGAAAGTCTGCAGCCACCTGTTGGAAATCCTTTTCGTGACACGCAGTGCAAGTTTCTCTCCCGTATAGAAGAACTGACTGAGTTGACATTTGTGTTGAAAATCCAAATTTTATCTCTTGTGCTGGCTGAGTGCAGATTTCCAAACTGGTTTCGGGTTGATAAAGGTGTATCTTGCCTTTCCGATTCATACAACCAATAGGATCCGTTTATTCATTTAGGGTCTAAACTCCTGAGTTTTTGTAAATATGATATGCCATGTACTTTGTCTAATAAACGTTGTTGTGGTCGGTGTTGTCAGTTGTCATCTATTTTCCCAGTCTAACTTTTGTGCCCTATCTCAGTGTGGGAAATGTTTTCAAGTGATCAGTTGGTTATTGTGTCGTGTTCTTGTGTCACATTCTAGCCAAGTTAAACGAACCCACAATCCAGTATCACTTTGTCATAACAGCTAATTCTTATGAATCTGTGCAAACCTTCTCAACTAAATTCTGTTTGAATTCGCGGCTGTATTCGTACAACTGTAGTGACTCTGTAGTGTCATTGTGATGTAAATCCCGTTTTAGCAGACTGTTGTATCTTGAATGCAGTAGATTAAGACGTTAAAATGAGTCTCTTGATCCACCTGTTAGCCATGATAGATCAAATGTTATGATCTTTTAACTATGAGAAGGTTATCTTGGCTTCGTAAATCATGTCGTTTCACTACGAGGGTGTTATTTTTATGAAGTGACGTCGCTACACCCAGTGAAATAGTCTTATTTATACTGGATAACGTTTCAAACACAGTCTATTATTCATAATCATACCACCAAATTGTAACTACACCACTTCGTGGCTTGATTTTTATGGTTATCTTTCTTCTTTCTCATTTGCCGTACGGTATTACATGTCCGGGACAGGTGCTGAATCATTCCTGGTGCACGTATTCTCGATTTTGATTCGATAAATAAAGCTTCAGTTGCCAATATGTCTCTCCACCGTGATACATTAGATTTTAAGACTGTCACCTTGTTCCATCTTATTCTGTAGTTGAGTTTTTCTCTAGATTTCTCATCTTTTTAGGGTCTACTTGTCTAGATTTCGCTGGATTTTTGTGCTCCACTAATCTAATTAACTTCCTCCTACTAATTTCACCTATGTATTTGACCTCACCGCACTACGGCGTGCCCCGAGTCTTTATCAACCTCATTCAACAGCCAGCTATGACAGTGCTACGTGTCAGGTGATCCACAACAAGAAACTCAGCAAGGCGTTCGAAGTGAATACAAGAGTAAGATAAGCTGGCTGCCTATTATCACCGATGATATTCTTGATTGTGGTGGACTGGATTATGCGTCAGACTGTGCATGGGAATGAGAAGTCAGGAATACGTTGGACCGGTAAGAAGACTCTAAAAGATCTGGATTTCGCGCGTGGATGATTTATGTTTAATGACACACAAACTCGAAGACTTACAGCGGAAAACCAACAAACTGGCAAAAGAAGCAGGCAGCGAAAACAGGACTTCAAGTGAACGTAGAGAAGATGAATGTGATGAAGATAACCAACGAACCGCAACAACAACAACCAGCGCCAATCACCATCAACGGGAGAAACTTAAAAGAGGTTACCTCCCTCACTTATGTAGGAAGCATCGTTTCAACCACAGGCGATATCACGGATGAAGATGTCAAAGTCAGTCAGGATCGGACAGGCAAGATACACCTTCATCAACCCGAAACCAGTTTGGAAATCTTCTGCACTCAGCCAGCACAAGAGATAAAATTTGGATTTTAAACACAAATGTCAACTCAGTCAGTTCTTCTATACGGGAGAGAAACTTGCACTGCGTGTCACGAAAAGGATTTCCAACAGGTGGCTGCAGACTTTCATCAACAACTGCCTTCGCTGGCTCCATAGTGAAGATCAAATGGCCAGCCAGAAAGGATTAGCAAGAAGAAACTCTGGGAAGAAACTAACCAAGAGCCGATCGTTCAACAAATATGTAGGAGAAAATGGAGATGGATCGGGCATACGCTGAGACCATCGAATGACATCGCGTGCAATGCAGGCCATCGCTCGAATGGAATCCAAATGGGAAGTCACGAGTGAGTCGTCAGTGCGAGGGTGACATGAGGAGGAGATGAGAGATTATGGGCGATCTTGGACCCAGCTGAAGAAGATAGCAGAGAATAGAAGAAAGTGGAGATGTATTGTTGAAGCCCTATATTCTACTCGGAACCCAAAGGTATAATAATCATAAATTTAACCTCACTAAATGCGCTTAAACACAACGATACAGTAGGATAGGACAAAGTGAACAGTCCTAGAATCTAATGTAACAAAGTGGAAGGAGAGATTGATAGCGTAAGCTTTATTCATTGAATTAACTGAGAATACGTGCATAGAAATAATTCAACACCTGTCCCGGACGTCTAAAAAATTCTACTATCCTTACGACAAATTAAAAGGAAGAATGAGAACTATGAAACTTAAGTTTCATGGTTGTGTAGTTGGCTACATTTGATACGATTATAAACGATAAATTGTGTTCGAAATGTCATCTAGTGAATAGCACTCAATCAAATTCACAATTTTTTTAATTTACACATTTCTAAGTGATTATTTCATCATAGTTTCCCTTGGAAACTGAAATTCTTCAAACCACAATATATAATCTGCTTGACACCATAAATGGCAATCACAGAAGTAACCATAAATACATGGTGCTTTGTATCACTGACTCCAGCTAGTAGTACTCGCTACACATACTGAAGTGATCTAAACACCGTCCGACCATTTATGGGCATCAAGCACATCACATAATGCGATTTGAATAACAGTTTCAGTTTCCAAAGGAAACTTTACTAAAGTATCATCTCGAACTGTGTGAATTGCAAACTACGAATTAATTTGCAAAGTCGATTCACCTAAGTAGCTAGTCTGAATTTCAGGTGAACTGAACTAATTCGGCTCTGTGAGATGAGTCAAACCGGGTACACCTCTGATGAGTTTGTCCCCAAACGAGTGAAGTGGCCTTTCAGTGTCTAGATGTCTAACAAGCACTACTGGTTGATGTGGTGGGTAGTATATCTGACTACTCATATCAATCAATCAGTACTATATAGCATCAAGTAAATGATACTTTTTTACTATATGATACATCCAATTAAAAAAAATTAATATGAA